ATATTTATTACCAATTTTATAAATTATTATTTTTTATTATTATATTTACTCTACAAAAAAATATTTTAATACCAACAAATTGGACAAAAAAAAAAACTAAAAAAAATATTTCTAAAATTTTTTCTAACAAAGTAATTATGTATGGAAACAAAGTGAATAGTGTCAAGTTAGACAAAAATTATAACGTAATTCTCTCGCGGAGTAATAGAAAAGGTTTCTATAAACATACGTAATAATAGTGGATTTCTTGCACCCATGTCAATTATACATTTTTTTTTTTTTACATATATTAACAGTCGACCTGATTCTATATATAATAGCGAAATCTAACAGAAACACATATGTTTATAATATATATATATACATATATATAAATATATGAACAACTTTCATTCTTTTTCGATTCACTTTCCAAGTGTGTAACTCGAGAGAGCTTAGTGTCGGTTATAAATGCATTTGCACTTGACAGTAATGAGTCTTTCTTGGTATATATATCGTCTTTCTAAAAGTGAATTCAAGATTTATTTCATTTCAAAAAGGATCGTTATCGCGTCATCGAAGCACGACTATATATATATTTTCTTTTTTTTTCTTTTTTTTTTTTTTTTAATAATCTTCACATATCCAACGTGTCAAATATCGCGAAATCTTTTAGAATCTTTAAATGCAAATTGAACATTCAAACCTGTTTTGCATAATTCAATAAATTCAGGAGAAGAAAAAAAAGAGGATAAATATCGAATTTTAAACAAAAAGATTCGGGATCTTTAATGGAAAGTAAAATAAAGATATATATAAAGATTTTTGAATTCAAAAGAGTGCAATATTTTGTGAATTTAACTTTCAAATAAATAAATAAATATATATATATATATATATATATATATATATATATATTTGTATAAGAATGCACTAATCAACATGCAGTACAAGATTTCCACATAAACATTCCACTCTCAGCCTTCAATCAACGTCAGAATGTCAATATAAACATTTGTAGCATCTTAAATGCTTGTAGGCGTTTGTTACATGTTCCATTTTTTATAAAAAAAAAGAAAATAATGTCATTATTTTATTTATTTTTTAAATTAAAAAAAAAATTTTTTATCGTTAAATTTCAATAAAAAAAAATTTTGCAACTATTTATTCCCACACCCAGAGAAATGATTTATTTGATCCAAATAAAATATATTTGAGTTAAATAAACGTATATTTGTCTCAGAGCCTACTAAACTTATTTATTTGGCGTAAATAAAAATTTTATTTGTCAGAAATAAATTTTTCTTTGGCTCAAATAAATTTTTTGTTTCAATGAAATAAAATATATTTGCAACAAATAAATGAGTTAGTAGGCTCGGAGACAAATATACCATTTCTCTGAGTGCAATTTCAATTTTATTGAATTGAAGAAAAGGAAACGAAAAATTGCATTTTAAATAAAAATTTGTTAACATTTACAATCATTTGTTTTTGTCAAATTAATAATTTTATTTCAAATACAGTAATACCTCGGACTTAGGTGGGACCGAGCGACGACCGCGTGTAAGTCGAATTCGCGTAAATCGGAGTTTAAGTTTTCATATAAAATAAATACAATAATTTACACCCAGAGAAATGATTTATTTGAACAAAATAAAATATATTTGAGTTAAATAAACTTATATTTGTCTCAGAGCCTACTAATTTATTTATTTGGCGTAAATAAAAATTTTATTTGTCAGAAATAAATTTTTCTTTAGCTCAAATAAATTTTTTATTTCAATGAAATGAAATATATTTGCAACAAATAAATGAGTTAGTAGGCTCGGAGACAAATATACCATTTCTCTGAGTGTAGAATTTATAAGAAATATGTTTAATAAAATATCAAGTAATAAAACTATTTACATTTTTATGAATAAAAACAACGTAAAAAATAATAATAAATTATTTATTAATTAATTACGAGTTAATTCGCCATAAAAAACGCGTATCTCCGAATTCGCGCATAAAACGGGGTGTAGCGTAAGTTGGGGTTTTACTGTACAGAAATTATTGGTTCAAATATAATTTATTTAATTCAAATAAAAAATTATTTTGTTTAAGTAATTCCAAATAAAAATAAGATTTTAAATAAATAATAATTTCAATAATTTAAAATTGTGTTATACAAGAACAAAATTGAAAGTAAAATTCTCATACCCATCTGAATGGAATTTCAAAATTCCTTTTTTTTCGGCAATAAAAAAATTGACCCTGACACAAAATTAAGACTATATTATTCTATATTATATATATATATATTTTTTTTATCGTATATACTTGTTTTACATCATGTGTATGATTAACTGTCTGAGCCACCCCCTTAATTAAATTAGAATGCGCAGTGAACATGCTAACAGATCAGAACTTTTATGGACTTACAATTACATCGATCAATAATACAAGAAACTTGATTCCTATTGTAATCCACCCCGCCTCGTTTTATATATATTCAATAAAATCAGTGTCACACTATTAAGAATTGATTCATATATTCCCTCTTATTTTTATATTACCGTATCATATAGAAAAAAAGATGAAAAAATAATCTTGAAAAAGATAAAAGAAATCAATATAAAAAATGATAGATTCAGATAAATAAAATTAATTTTTTCGAAGTTAATTTTTGGTTTCTTTATTTTTTCCCTTGATTAAAGCTCAGTGGACCATCTAAAGAATTAGGCTAATCGGATGCCATAAAAGGTTTATCGTTAACTCGCAAATAAACTCTCAAGGCTGCGTGTGCACAACTCTATTGTATACAATTTGCAAAAATTCTTTCTCTATTTTCAAATTGATCCTCTAATCGCGTCGCACTTGTGAAAAATTAAAGTTGCGAGCATAAAATTTAATTATAGAAAAAAATGATGAAATAGTAATTTTTTTATTATAGAAAAAATAGAATTTTTCCGGAAATTGTCTTTTTTTTTGCCAATAATGTCTTAACAGAATTAAGCAATTTTTTTTAATATCTTATTGTTTTCATATATTTTAATGGGGAAAAAAAACAATTGATCCTTTTAATGAATATTTCATTTACAGCTGAGTTATTTATAAAAAAAAATTACGCAAAAATATTTATTAATAGTTGTTGAATAGTTGCTGTAAGAATCTACCACTAATTTTTTTTATCGATTCAGAAATAGATAAAGACTCAAGGACTCTTTGCATTAGCTATAATATATTTTTCCATTGTAATCAGAATGAAATTTATGGATTTGTCTTTTACATTAATTTATGATGCTACTAATAAAGAAAGCAATTATTTCCCTCTATATTTGACCCAAAATTAGTCTTTCCATAATTCCGAACTAATTTAAACTATAATTATATAAATTTCAATTATTTTTTTTTCCATAAAAATTAGCAAAAATTAAGAAACCTATAAAAAAAAAACCTTATCGTACAAAGAAATCTGCTTTCCTTTTTTTTTTTTTAGAATTATTGACAAATAGCGTGTTTTGCCTACACAATGGAAAATTGTTTAATCTCGTTACTTTATAAAATCGAAGAGGAAAAGAGCAGATGTATGCAAGATAAAAGGAGAGTTATATAGATTTAGAACGATGATACACGAGGGTATGGAAGAATTATGGAGCTAAGGAAAAAAAAATAAAATTCCTTATGTGTTCATAAAGAAAGTAAAATTTACCAAAAAGAAATAAGTATAACTAATAGAAAAATAAAACATAAAAATGAATACCCAATTAGTTTTCAGGATTTTCCTATTTTAGATGATTTACAACGAAGCTCTATATTATTATATGCTATTACCACTCGTTACCTAACAATTGTTATTTAGATAAATTTTTTTTTACACAATTTTCACACTCTGGTGCAATAATCTAAAAGCAGAATTATTTTTCATTCACAAAACAAAATCGATTTCAAGAAAATAAACTCCATTGAAATTTTAACATATGTGTATACGTAAATTATAACGTCTTTCTATATTGCTAAATCAATGTTTCATCATTTCCCATTATTATAACCAGGTTTCTAATGTTGAAGTACTAAAACGCGTTTATAAATTGCCATTTATTATTCACTCGTTATAATTTACTATCAGGTATTAATCTGAACGCCATCAATTTCGAATAAAAGTTGAAAATTAAAAAATTTTTTCCCAACAGTAAATTATCAGCTACCTCATGAGAAAGCAAAATTTATTTTTACTCTCTAAATCTGAATTAGTAAAAATGTTTACTAATTTGAATTAGTAACTCACTTTTTGCTTCTGAATTAGTAAAATTTTACTAATTCTGAAGCAAAAAGTGAGTCACTAATTAGTAAACATTTTTACTAATTCAGATTTAGAGAGTAAAATTTTGATTCAATAGCATATTTTTCTCTTCAGTTATCAAAAACGTGTTAAAAGAATTTAAATATGAAAATTTATTGTCAAAACAAACACGTGTTAAAAAAAATATAAACAAAAGAGTAAAAATTATTGTAAAAAATACTTTTGTAAATCAGATACAAAAGAAGATAAGAAAATACAAAACCCGCATCAGGTTCAGTAGCTGATAAAATTCTATATATAAAAATCATACACGCGAATAAAAGATAATTGTTAGGAAAATTTTAAGAAAATTTTTTTCGATTTTTCTGCCTTTAAAATATATTCTTTAGAATCTTAATCAAAAATTATAAAGAAACAATGGAATGCAAATTTTTTACGAACCACATATCATGAAAACTGGTTTTGTAAAACCCCTTCAGGGACGGATATAATACCTCAACTTTATTCATCTTTAATATTAAAAAAAAAGAAAATATTAACGAAAATTCTCGATTCGTCAAGAAATATTTATTTATTCATCAGGAACTATTTGTTTTGAAATAATTTTTATTTTATTCCGTTTCGAAAAGATAGTAAATCTTTATCATGTTAAAATGACTTTCAAAAAGGTGCAACAAGTACATACATGATGATGACTCATCATAAGAGAACAAAAACATTCATATATACAACTAACCTCTAATTTTGCTGCATATTCCTCGGCAAGTGTATCACTTTGTTTCGTTAATTCTTGATTTCTTTCTAAAAGTGCTTTTCCTAATTCAGCAGCAAGTACCAAATCCCTTTCTCTTTGTTTGAGCAATTCCAAAGGATCACCCTCATCATTATCGAGGGAATTCCTCCTCGTCTGAAGATCAGAGATCATATCCTCAAGAGCATAGGGCTCAGGTTGTCCCTCTTTTCTTGGCAACATATTTCACAATTTTTTTTTCTATTCACTAAAATTGATACCCAATTGGATATAGTATTTATATATGTTAATATTTTGTGCAACAAGTGGACGTCTTTAATAAAAATTTACACTTTTCATGCTTCATCTCATTTTTCACAAACATAATTCATTAATCACTTATTTCACTATTTTTGTGCTTCTAAAACTTTTTTCAAAAAACTTTTTTCCACTTAAGAACATCATCTTGAATATCCAATAATTCGTTTTATGGTGAATCAACTCTATAAAACTGGTTTTTCGTCATTAAAATCTTAAGTCGCCGGAAGCTAAAACTTTTTTCACTCCTTGCGCGTTTGACATTGAATCTATATATGTGTGATGCAACAGTGCGAGACGTTTCTTCGCGAACCCATTTAATCTCGTTGTTCTAGATTTCGCGCCGACCGTGACTTCATCTATAAAGAATATATATATATAAAATAGGGGCATAAAGCAACCTGCGCGACCCAAAAATTTTTATTCCGCTCCGAAACACAAACAGACACCTGTGTTCATCGACGCATAGATACTAAAGTTTTTTTTATCAGCAGATATCAAATCTGATTATTGGATTTTTAGTTTATCTCTATGGATTACTGAAGCTAATTTTGATAATGAAGAACACGATTCTATTGATGTACCAACCTCTTTAAAATCATAAATCCTTTGTGTGACTAACAAAATGGTTTTAATTGTATATTCTGGAAGCAAATGAGTTTCTACAACAGATTTGTTTGTAACTTACTTACTAAGTACTATTTACTACTAATAGTTGTTCCCTTCAAATCATTACTTCTCATCCAAATCTAATCAATTCTTATTCCTAATCGCACCACTTCTAAAAATCGAAATTTTATCTTTTTGAGAGTATTTCCCTCAAATTGAAAAAACGAATTTCCATTCTCAAGAATTGTTGGCCTTTTTGGAAATGAAATGGCAAGTCTAGCCTGGTAGTACATCGATCGTGCCGCACCTGCGAAGGTTATGAATCCTTAATGCCTGATAAACACTGGCGCATTTCCGTTTGTCGTTATTATTTTTGTATTAACTTCCTGTCACACTTGTTAATCGATGTTAAAAATTTTTTTCTGCTATTGTTGTCAATTGATTTCTAAATCTCACTTCACTATCACAACACGCGCGCAAATAGCTTCACGAGGACACAAAAGAAATATTATATATACACGTAGGTGTACACGGCGCCGCAGTCGGCCAGGTAGTGACTCACGGTCGTAGAGTGGAAAATAAATATTACGGAATCATGCCCTGCTCCCGGAACGAACCCACAGCGTGTCCCCTCCCCCCTTCTTCTCCTCCTCCTTTCCCTCACAATACCCTTCTCTCCTATAGACTTCAATTCCCCACACCGCTTTTGTGGTTTTACAACAGCTTCTGGGATAGGAGACTTAAAAAAAGACTTAAAAAAGGACTTAAAAAAGGACTTAAAAAAAGACTTAAAAAAAGACAAAAAAGATTTTTTTAAAAAAAGGCATAGAATACTTTTACACTCCCTATGTTAGCCGGAGACTTGAGACTACTAAAACTTATTTCAGACTGAGACTAGACGGAACTACCCTTCGGATTTCTCTCTAGAGCTCCTTCTTTACTATATATATATGTATACTACAAATCATCCCCTCCTTCCTTATTTTTGTTTTTCTTGAACGCGTGCCAAGAACATTTTCCCCCCTCAAGGATGGTATATAATCTTCTATCGAGACGGTGACCTATCCCCACAAAACAGGGTGGTCCAATATAACAGAAGGAAAAAAAAAAGACATGTGTTTTAGGATTAAGAAGCAGATGCAGAAAAATAAATATACCGAATATATAAGAAAGAAAAAGGGGCCCGAATAGAAAATCTATTTTGGATTTTTGCTTAAAAAATAATAAAATATCTGCCATTTAGTTGCAAAAATTTAGTAAAATTATTTATAATATGTGACGCGATCTGAAGAAAGGGACCTTAGAAGCAAATGAATTATTGGTTATGTTTACAATAGTTTTACTTGAACTAAAAGTTTATTTTTTTTTTTTATTTATTTTTTTTTTTTTTTGTAAAACTGAAATCAGTTTTTATTGAATATTTTGGATGCAATGAAGACCTAAATATCATTAGTTTGCATTACGAGTTGAACGTCTTTGTGTATTTTCACTTTAAAATTTCTTAACGTAACCTATAATTTTTTGCTTCTAAGGTCCTTTTCTTCAGATCGCGTTACATATTTATTTTATAGAAGAAATTTTTCAAAAATCTGTTTTGAAAGTTTAAGCAAGTCATGAATAATAATATGTTTGTCTTAGTCGATCGGTTAGTGTTCTCGATTATGGTGCGACGAACACGGGTTCGATTCCCCATGTCTTAATAATTTTTTAAGTATAATATAAGGAATTCAAAATCAAATTAAGGACCTACTGAACCATGTATGTAAACTAAATAATAATAATAATCAATAATTATAACAATAATTAATAATAATAATAATAATAATAATAATAATAATAATACACTGAAAAAAATTATTTGATTCAAATAACGTGTTACTTAACTATTAGCCAAATAAATATTTACTTGAACCAAATAATTTTTATTTGAATTAAATAAACTATTTTAGAATCAATAATTTCTGTTTTTGAAACAAATACCATTTAATTGGCACAAATAATAATTATTTAATGCAAATAAATATTTATTTGATAATAGTCAAGTAACTGATTATTTAAATCAAATAAATTTTTTCTTCTATGTAGTAATATAATAATAATAATAATAATAATAATAATAATAATAATAATAACGCTTGCCCTTGCGCAAAAAAAAAATAATAATAATAATATAGGGAAAAAATCTTTACCTGAAACAGCGATAAGTTTCACTGGAATAGCGATAAATTTTACTAAAACAACGAAAGTTTTAGCTATTCTAGAGAAACGTATATAGCTGTTACAGATAAAAAAATATTTTTCATTTTTGAATTAAATACATAATTAATATTAAATTATTAATTAAATTAAATTAATTAAATAATTAAAGTAATTAATATTGTAAAATTAACTTAAACAATTTTACTAATATAGGTTTTGCAAATAAAACAGCAAATATTTTCATTTTCAATCATTAAATGAGAAATTTTTGTTTGTAATTTTTTTAAATAAAAAAAAAAAAATTGTTTAAAAATTATTATTTTTTTTTTTTAACGTCTAATTCTTGGTGCCCGTTGAATTGTATATGGAAATTATCAATAAAAAGATAGTTCAAGGACAAAGGAGTAATCAATAGTCATAAAAAATATATGTGTGTGTCTTTAAAAAGAAGGTATATTTTTGAAAAATATTCAAAAAGTATTGTTTAAAAAAAATGGGGTTAATTTTTAAATATATAATTCTATAGATTATGTAAATAAATATTCTATTAAGTTATAGATTTTTGATATAATATACAATATTTCGCTAATTCGCTAAAATCGTTTAAATATTTAATTTAATAAAAATTTAACACAATAAAAAAAGCAGGCGCCAAAAAAATGCATATGGAGAAAAATTCAGAAAAATTTTCTTTATAGAATTTAACGATAAAATGACATGTTTTTTTTTTTTGTATAAAAATGACACAATCAGGAAGTTGCCTTAGTAACCATTGAACCAACGGTTCAAACAGCTGACATATATATATAGTGGCTGCGCGCCTCTAGTGCTTAGTAACCGGAAATTCACTTCGATGGGGTTGTATTGGTACATCTGCCCAGGGTTGTTGTATAAAGTGACAGAAATTTTTAAAATTCAAAAAATGTTAACCGAAATCTAAATTCCGCGAAATTATTTTTTTTTTTCCAAAAAAAAAATTTATAAGAGAAGAGTCGTCATTTTTTTTTGTGGAATTTTTTAACACTGGAAACAAGTTACAGGTTAACAATAACAAGTAACGATCTATAAAAACAAATACTAATTTTAACAAATATTCAACTTGTGAAAATTTTGCATAAAAATTAATTTTTTGACATTTTGCAAAATTTAATAAATTTTAATAATTGATGGAACTATTTTTAAAATTCGTTTTCTGATTGAACGAATTTTTTAGACGATTGTTTCTTATTTATTTTTTATTAAATTAAATTTAATTAAAATTATAAAATAGTTATAAAATTATTATAAATTTATAAAATTATTATAAATTTATAAAATAATTATAAAATTATATTTATAATTAAAATTATTATTAAAATTATTATTAAAATTATTATAAATTTATAAAATAATTATAAAATTATATTTATAATTAATATTATTATAAAAATTATTATTAAAATTATTATAAATTTATAAAATAATTATCAAATTATTATCTCCTTCTATATAATTATATAAAATTTCAATGAATATTAAAGTATGTTCAGTATTTGGTTTTAATGAGAAGAGAGTGAGAGAGAGAGGAGGCACTTGACTCCCTTTTAGAAGATGAACAAAGTAGTCCTTTCATCGAATTTGCATCCGAGTATATATCAAAGGGTTTGCCAGACCCACTTAGCAGATGTCTATTTTTGCTCAGTGGAATCTATCTCGTGATTCATTCTCGATGAGAACATCATAAATGTACACTCCTTTGGCACGCGTTATTTTCTTCAAAACCTTTCAATTATTCTTTTACAATTTATTCAATGTGCGTCATCTAAATATACAGTAATTTTAATCCATCGAAGAAACATTCTTTTCAAAACACTTACTCACAGAAAATGCAAATTCATTACTAAATCATTTGTTTTAAAGTGGCATGTAATAATACATTACATAGAATTCAATCTTTTTTTTTTTTAATAAAAAATTATTTTCCAAGAATAAAATTTCTATAATAAATAATTTTAATAAAAATATTCTATAAATAATAAAAATAAATAATATTTTATAAAAAATAAATAATTATAATAAATAAAAAAAATTTAATAAATAATAATATTTTACAATAAATAATTATAATAATAATTTAATTAAAAATATAATTAGATAATGAATTTTTAATAATTTATTTTATCAAATTTTTATTATATAAAATAAATAAATTTTTTTGTAAGCATGACATTTTTTTTTTATCTAGAGATAAAAAAATGTCCTATCGACAGCAGAATCAAGTTCAAGATGAGATGGAATTAGAAGCAATGGCTGAGGCTGAACTTGCTAGATTAAAAAGACAATATAGAATAATGGAAAATGATCGAAAATCATATTCAAAAAAAGTTGAATTACAATTAAATAAACAAGAGCAAATAATCGATCAACTTGAACGTGAAAAATCGGAGCTTCTATTGACAATAAAAGCAATTAAATCGCCGGCAAATTTGAAAAAAGATGAAAAAGATCGTGAAGAAATTAAACAACTATTGGAAAAAAGAGCCAAATATATGGAAATACTTGAAAAAGAAAAACAACAAATTGCCGAACTCGATGAACAAATTTCCAAGGTAAAAATGAAAAAAAAAAAAAATTAAATTTATTTATTATTATTACTATTATTTATATTATTATTAATTATAATACGAAAAGGCATAGCAAAAAATTAATAATTATTATTATTTTCATTATAGTAATTTTAATTAATAATAATGAGATTAAGACTGAGACTAAAAGTGAATTGCAATTCATTAATTTGCCATATAAGTATACATCATGAAATGAGACAATTTCCTGTTTAATTTATATATATATATATATATATATATATACAAAATAGAAGTTGAGAAATTCTCAGTTGATTTACAAAATTTTACAGAAAACGTGCAGGCTTTAATGCAAAGGTGGAGGTTAATTACAGGTATCGAAGGAAGTGAATGCCCTGAAGAAGAAAGTTCGCACGGATGCTCAATCAAAGGAAATGGTGATGAAGCACAATAAATTTGTTTCTATATTGGAAAATCGTTTGGAAGTTGCAACAAAAAAATTTAATTTAACAATAGCAAAAAATACTGAATTACGTAAGGAAATTGATAGTCTTCTTAAAGAGAGAGCACAATTTAACGCTCTTTATAATAAGCTTGTTAATAAAATTAACGCTGGCAAACAAGTTATTAATGATCTCATTGAACAAGCAACAATTGCATTTAATCAAAGAGATGAGGAACTCAGTAAAATTTATGCACTACGCGAAAGGTGAATTTTCATTAATATATTATAAAAATTTTCATTCAACATTATTTTAATATTATAATTAATTACAATTAATAATAAAAATAATAATACTAATACTACTACTACTAATAATAGTAATAATAATAATAATAATAATAATAATAATAATAATAATAATAATAATAAAATAATAATATTGATAATAATATTAATAAATAATTAAAAAATAATTTTTTATTATTTAAATGGTAATTTAATTGCTAAATAAAAAAAATAATAATAGAAATTGATATTTATAATAAATATAAAATATTGAATAAAATTAATTAATTATTATTAATTAATTTTTAAATATAAATAATTTATATTTAAAAATTAAAAATAATTATTATTAAAAATAATTTGAATAATAATTGTAATAATTTTTTTTATATATAATAATAAAACAAATTATAATAATAATTATAAATAATAAATAATTTGAAATTATTAATTTAAATAATAATTTCTCCCCTAATTTTCACGTATTATTTATTAAATTTTTCAAAAATTTCTATTATTAAAATTCTACTCGTGAATTTGTTTTCAATTTTTCTGTACTGAATTCTAATTTTCTTTATTTTCCCACTGCTTCTATTTAAAAAAAAAAGAAAAAAAAAAAATTGGAAGTGATGCGAAAGTTAAGGTGTTTAGATGATTATACCCGATTAGACATTCATTTGGCTTCCTTGTGTGTTAATTATCTGAAATTGATCCTCATTCTATGTATATAAAAATACAAGTAGGCTTAAAAATCAATGAAATTAGATACGAAATTGTATAAAGCGATAACAATCTAATAAAAAGTGAAACCAATTGAAATTAATTGGTCTAGAGATTAAATTCTTTTGCATTCGGTTAAATATTTACAAGAGAAAAAAATTTTAATTTTTTTTAAAAAAAAATTAAAAAATTTTAATTTTTTAATAAATTTTTTTTTTATAATTTTGAAAAAAAAATTTTTTTTTTTTACAGGGGAGCACGTGATTTAAAGAATCACACGTCTGAAATGTGTGAACTTCAACGAACCCTTGACAATGAAATGAAACTTCAAGAATTTTTGGGTGTGAAAGGTCAGTGTCGAGAGATGACGAATTTAAATGCAAAAAAAGACGCTGAGGAGGTTGCCAAGAAAAAAGAAATGGAAGACAAAGTTGCGGAATACACGAAAATTCTTACAGAACTCAAAGAATTTACAGGTTGTAATTAAAATTTTCAAATAAATTTCCAATTAAAAGTAAAAATATTTTTTTTATACTTTTTAGGAAAAATTTATATAAAAAAAAAAATTATTTTCATTCTTTTATAATATTAGTGAAAAATTTAATTGAAAAATTAATAATAAAATTAATTAGAGAAATACTTATTAATTATTATATATGTACTATACAATGTTCCGCAGGGGAAGAAGATGTAGATAAATTGGCTGCTAATTTTATAAAACAGGAAGAAGAGAACTTTGCACTCTTTAATTATGTGAATGAACTGAACGATGAACGTGAAACTCTTCAAAATCGTGTTGAACAATTAAGAGCAGGAATTGAGGAAGCTAAAGCACAAAATACCGAGGAGGGTCAAAAACAAGCTGAAACTTTAGAGAAATTAAAACAAGAACTCGAAGATGAGACTCGACTTGCAGACGAAGCGGAAAAAGAACTAAAGAAAGTGATTATTGAATTTATTAATATTATTATTCACTTAAAAAAAAATTAAATAAATAAATAATAATAAATTAAAAGATTTTAATAAAAAAATTTTCAATTTTTTTAATAAATTTTTTTATTATTATTCCAGTCCAATGAGGTAATGGATAAACTTCTCAAGAGTGTTGACGACATGTTCAAGGCAATAAAATGCGATAAATCACCAATTTTAGAATTACTTGGTGATGATACACAAGTTACGATGAATAATGTTATGTTATATCTTGGTATTATCGAGAAAGAAGTTTCCAATATGTTAAGTAAACTTTATTGGATTGACAAAGCAAATGGCGATGAGAGAATAAGTGAAGAAAAAAGGCCCATTTTTGTGCCACCTTTACTTTCCGATATTGCACCCACCCAGCCTTGTCCTTTGTAAGTTAACATTTTTTTTTTCTCCAAAAAAATTCCCTTTTTAATTTCCATATTAATTTCCTTTCACACTATCCAGTTTTAATAATTTTTTTTTAATAAATCAAAAAAGAAAATATCTATTTCTTTGTTGATTAAAAATTTTATAGAATTTTGAAAAAAATTTTAAATTTTAAAAAAATTAAAAAGAAAACCACGTACCTTTACAAACAGATGTTTTGAGAAAGAAGAATTTCAAAAAGTTTCCGAAGGTTTAGAAGCACCAATGACTCAGGAAGACGCCACTGAGAAACTGAAAAAAAGATTGAATAATGATATTACCGAATTATTGCACAGTGTATCTGGTTGTAATTTGCCAGCGGCAAGAAAAATCATGCAAAAGAGATATCAATAAAAAAAAAAAAAAAAAAATAGAAACAATGAAAAAAATAGTAATAGTAAAAAATAATAATAATTACAAAAATATTAGTAATAATAAAATAATAATAATAACAAATAGTAATAATAACAAAAAAATATTTGGGAACAGGGCGTATAAGAAAAATAATAATAATAATAAAAATTAGTAATTTTAAAAAATAGTAATAATAAAAAATACTCGGGAGAAAATTTTGCTACAGGGCATAAAAAATAGTAATAATAAAAAAAATAAAAAAATATTAATAATAACAAAAAAATACTCGGGAGAAAATATGCTGCAGGGCGTATAGTTATATAAAAGTGGGATATAAAATTACATATTATTGAGAGTCTTATAAATCAGGGTTATTAACTAATTATTATTGAATTCAAAAGAGTCACGTCAGTTCTAATTTTGCTATAGGTGAACCAACAAGAAAAAAAATATACAAGATTGTTTCTATGATAAATGAAGATTTTCAAATCAAAATAATTTGTGAAAATCGTCATTTATATTATAATTCCTTTTTATAATACTCTATAGTTATAAAGAATATATAAATTATTAAATTAATTAATTTATTAAATTTATTAATCAGTTATTATTAAATTATCAAATTAACTATTTAGTATTTAAATTTATTAATTATTAATTCCTAATTATTAATTATTAATTACTAATTATTAATTATTTATTATTAAATTAAAATAATACGATTTTAATTTCAATAAATTTCTATATTTTAATTTACTATTTTTTTTTATTATTTGTATTAAAATTATTTTTTAAACATACTTACACTGGAATCTCGATTTTATGAAATTTGTCTAAAAAATCGAGGTTACAGTGTATATAAATAAATTTATCATTTTACATTGTATAAATGAAGTTATAATTAATTATAATATTATGCTTTTAATTTTTATTCTCTCTTGATAGGCTTCGTAGCTTTCTTCTTGGCAACTTTGATGATTCTTTTCACTTCCAAGATAGTACGTTTAATTTGTAATAATTGTTGTTCATAATCATTAGGATCTAATTCAATTGCAATTCCCTTTCTCTTGCAAATTTGCGAATAAAGATTCCAACAGCACGCTCGCATTTGTGTTAATTCAGAATTTTTTACAGCCGCCGATGCTTTTATTCGTGCAACAATTGTTTCCCATCTTATTGCCAATGCTTTTGCTCTATCATATCTTCCTTGAAGTTGTGCCAATTCATTACTCAAATCCATTAGCATATTTGTTTTTGTTTGTGTCATTTCGTGCTAAATTGAAAATATATTCGAAAATCAATTTTTTATTCTACCATTTTTTTAAAAATTTAATTAATATAAAATTAAAAAATTAAAATTAAAAAATTAAAATTAACATAAAATTAAAATTAATATTAAAATTAAAATTAAAATTAAAATTAAAATTAAAATTAAAATTAAAATTAATATTAAAATTAATATTAAAATTAAAATTAATATTAAAATTAATATTAAAATTAATATTAATATTAAAATTAAAATTAAAATTAAAATTAAAATTAAAATTAAAATTAAAATTAAAATTAAAATTAAAATTAATATTAAAATTAATTTTAAAATTAAAATTAATATTTTTTAATTGAATATTATTTTAAATTGTATCTAAAAAATTGTAACTGACCATATTTTTACTAGCTTCTTCTAAAATTGCAAGACTTTTATCTTGATTCTCAGATAATAATTCTTTAGCCTCAATTAATGTTTCATAACGATTAAAAATTTCCGGTATTGATTGAAATTCATTAGTTTCATTTACCACTTTTTCAAGATAATTTTGATAAATTTTATAATCATTGACGTAATTTTTCATTTTGTCACGAGCTTCAGAGAATTTCTCGATATTTTTTTTTAAATCTAAAATCTGAAAAATGACGTATTAAAAAAAAATAATAATTTAATTTATAAAAACAAAATTAAAAAAAAAAAAAATTTCCTTACTTCTTTTTCTCTTAATTTTTGACGTTCTTCTTCATCAGAAATTTTTTTCTCAGCTCGTTCTCTTTTCTCACGATTTTCTTTAACAAGCTTATTATATTCTATAAATGATTGTCGCAATGAATTTTCTTTATTTCTTAAATCGCTCCATTGTTGATTTATATCGATTTTTTTAATTTCTTGTTCTTTCCATTTTTCTTTTAACTCATTTTCAGCCTGTATTAAATCTCGTCGTGCTCTCATTAATTCTGCTTCGGGAGTTGCTCTGGCAACATCCATATCTGGATATTTTCTATATATATATACATAGAATAATTATATTTATCAGATAAACTTCAATTTTCCAAAAATTGTAATAAAAATATTTAATTATTTAATTAATAATTTATTTTATTTATTTATTTTCAAAATCTAATTTCTATTTTATTTTATATTCATTTAAAAAAAATTAATTAATTTCATTTGTTTATTAATATAATTAATTAAATAATTATTTATATAGTTGAAATATTTACTTTATAATCGGACGATCTCCTTTTATATGAAATATTTGTGTCAATGTGTCATTTCGTTTTGGCTGAATCAAAATTTTTGATTTTTGATTTTCTTCCAAATTAGCCATTGTTAAATTAAATTTCAATATTAAATATTTCTGGTATTTATTTTCTAAAAAGACACTGATATAATTTTAACAAAATAATTCCATTACATTCAATACCATATGAGTATTGATCAAACATTTTCTATTTTAAAATAAAATTCAAAAATAATTTTTCCAATAGAAAAAGAAATTTTTCAATAAAAAATATAATTTTAAATCTTTTAGATTATGTAAACAAATAAAAAAAAAATTTTTATATACGTTTTAATAAAAACAAAATTGAAAATAAATTTAAAATTTCCCGCCTAAAGTGACGTCATCTAGGTATGTAAATGTAATCACAAGAAATACTCTAGAAATCACTAAACCTCTAGGGAATTTAAATTTTCCTTGTCAATTGATTGGCGACGCTTGGTTCCAAAATGGCGATCTCGTTTCGCAAAAGAATTGTAATCAAAACCTCCGGTTCAATATTACAGCTGTTTAACATTTGACATGTGAATACACAAAACAATTTGATAGTGATTTATCATAAAATACAATTTCATAATAGTGTTATAATAAAAATATTAATTAAATTTTCAATGAAAATACGTATGATACGTTTTTGACAGCGTGTTTGCAATGGCCGATGAACCTGTCCCAGCACCAAAGAGGCGACAATTGGTAAACAAATAAAAAAAAAAAAACAGTGTAAACATTTATTTTTTCATTTATAAATCTTGTATGGTAATTATTTTTTTCTATTGAAATTTTAGCGAGAGAGAACTAAGAAACTTTATACAGATGATTGGGCTATTGGCGATGAGGATATTGAAGGTAGAAGGACATTTCAACTTGATGAAAAAATTGAATGTGAAAGATATAATTTGAGCAATTTTACGGGATTATTTCGCGAAATGACTGGACATGAATTAAATGTTGCTTATTTACAAAAACACGGTTTGGGAATACCACTTTTATTTAGAGATAAAGCTGGTTTGGGACTTCGTGTACCAAGTGCAAATTTTACAATTAACGATGTCAGAACTTGTGTTGGTATGTTAATACTCTTTTTCTGAAATTTTTTTTAAATATAATTAGAATTAAAATAAACGTTAAATTTATTTAGCCCGCTAGCGGGAGAAATGCAAGATTTTGGCTATTTAGCCCGCTTATTTTTAAAAAATCACCAAAATGAGAACTATTTAGTTTGCAGTAAGTATATTTAAAATATTTTTTGTTTTTATTTATTTATAATAATAATAAATAATAAAAATAAATAAATAATAAAATATATTTTATTATATAAAATGTATATTAAGTGCAATTCAAAATAAGGCAATTGTTTATTAAAATATATTAATGTGATTTAATACAAAGTTTATTTACTCCAAAATGAAGTGGTAGGATTGTTTATTTAAAATATATTATATTATTTAATTTAATTAATTATTTAATTAAAGTTGTGGTAAAAAAAACAATTTTTTTGTTAAAACCAAATTTATTGTAAGAAAATTGTTTAACTACAACAGGTATATTTATTTTTTAATAAATTATTAGAAAATAGTTTATGAAGGGTTAAAAATAAATAAATTTCTTTGATGGGAATTAGAATCCTTATCTTTTATTTTTTTCGTTGAATCAACGTTGGTAACTTCAGTTTTATAAAAAAAAACATGATTCGAACAAAAAAATTTTTGAATGAAAATTTCCCGTGGAATGATGCCCCATACGTATTTATAAAATACAAGAATTTTAATTGTATTTCAAAAATTAATTTTTATTTGGAAATTTAAAGTTTCAATAGAAAACAATTCCATAAACTATTTTCTAATAATTTATTAAAAAATAAATATACCTGTAGTTAAACAGTTTTCTTACAATAAATTTGGTTTCAACAAAAATATGTTTAAAAATTAATTAATTAAATTAAATAATATAATATATTTTAAATAAACAACCCTACCATCATTTCATTTTGGAGTAAATAAATTTGTATTAAATCACATTAATATATTTATATAAACGATTGCCCTATTTTGAATTGGACTTAATATACATTTTATATAATAAAATATGTTTTATTATTCTAGAATAAATAAATAAAAAAAACAAAAAATATTTTAAATATAATTACTGCAAACTAAATACCCAAAATCTTGCATTTCTCCCGCTAGCGGGCTAAATAATCTATCGCCACTATTCCTCCCGTTAACGGGCTAAATAGACACAGCGTAAAATAAAAAAGTAATTTTTGCATTTTTAAGGTTCAAAAAGAATATTAGACGTAATGGATGTAAATACACAAAAAAATGAGGACATGACAATGAAGGAATGGCAAAAATATTACGAGGATCCAAATAAGGGTCGACTTTTAAATGTAATATCATTGGAATTTAGTCATACAAAATTGGAAAATTATGTACAATCACCAACATTAGTAAGACAAGTCGATTGGGTTGATGTAATATGGCCTCGTCATTTAAAAGAAGCTCAAGTTGAGGCAACAAATCTTTTAGAGGATATGATGTATCCAAAAGTGCAAAAATATTGTCTAATGTCAGTTAAAGGTTGTTATACTGATTTTCATGTGGATTTCGGAGGAACAAGCGTTTGGTATCACATTCTTCGTGGTGGAAAAATTTTTTGGCTAATACCACCAACTGAAAAAAATCTCTCACTTTATCAAGAATGGGTTTTAAGTGGTAAACAATCGGATGTATTTTTTGGCGATATGGTCGAAAGATGTGGTCGTGTTAGTTTAAAAGCTGGTATGACTTTATTTATTCCAACTGGATGGATACACGCTGTATATACACCACAAGATTCACTTGTTTTTGGTGGTAATTTTCTTCATAGTTTTGGCATTGATAAACAATTAAAAGTTGCACAAGTTGAGGAACACACGAAAGTACCGCAAAAATTTCGATATCCATTCTTTACGGAAATGCTTTGGTTAGTAATTAATTAATTAATTAAATTTTAATTTAGAAATTTGTTAATAAAGTAAAATTATTAGGTACGTTTTGGAAAAGTACGTTCATGTTCTTTTGGGAAGAAGTCATTTGGATATTCCTGAATCGCATCCTCAACATTCAATGCCATTGCAGCATCATCATCATATTCATTTGACTCCATACGAATTGCATGGATTAAAATCGATAGTAATGTACTTGCATTCTTTGCCTTCGACAAAAAAAAATGTACCGGATTTAATACGTGATCCTGTGGCCTTAATACACGATGTAAGGTGTTTGGTTGAACAACATCGACATGATAATCCAGAAGCAGCTGTTACGGGCATTCCTGTTTTACCACCACCACCACCAATGACAATAGCCGAACGTGTAAGTTTTAATTTTCACTAAAATTTTTTTTTCCCCTATTCGTTATTTTTAATTTTCAAAATTTTTTTTCCTATAGGAACGTTTGAAAGCGACTAAAAAGACATTGACAAAAATTCAACGTCAGCAAATAATAATTGAAAAACAAGATTCAAAATCTGCTTGTGCAAGAAGACGACGAACACGTTGTAAAAAATGTGAGGCTTGCACGAGACAAGATTGTCAAGAATGTGTCTATTGTCAAGATATGGTGAAATTTGGCGGTACAGGAAGAGCAAAACAAACATGTCTAATGAGACAATGTCTAAGGCCAATGTTGCCCGTTACCGCTGCTTGTAAAATCTGTAATCTCGACGGATGGGGTCAACAACCTTCGCCTCTAATGGGTTTGTAATTATTTTTTTTTAAATCTCAAATAGTACAGAATTGAGAATGTAAACCATTTCAGGCAAACCGATCCCAATGACACCGTCTGGTTTATCAGAATGTCAAGTCTGTTTCGATATTGTTCATCCACAATGCGTTGGTGTTGATCCCTTGTCAATATCATTTAACGAAGATTTGCCAAACAGTTGGGAATGTTTGAATTGTTGTGAGAAGGGACGAAATTTAGATGGAAAACGTCAGGGAAAAGTTCGTGCGAGAAAACTCTCGGTATCGAGCGCCGCTTCATCGGTACCGACAACAGATTCCGAAAGAGCTACAACGCCAAGTAAAAGATCGAGACCTGATCCAACAGAGGTAGGTCTAAAATTTAATTTCAAAAATAATTATATAATAATAAAATGCTTGATCTGTCCTTCTGTCCTAACTTGAAGTTGGTCTTTTATGATTTCACGTGTTTTTTGAATAGTAATCGACCTGTCAAATTTGTGTCAAATTAAACTTGAAAATTTTTAGAAATAATTAAATTTCAAAAGATATTGTTAATTTTCAAACAATAATAAAATTTTACAGAATTAAAAATAATTTATCAAAAAATTTTTTGGAAAACATTTTTTAAATTTAATTGAATTTTCAAAAGATTTAAAATTGAAATTTTATCTGAAATTAATTGAACTTCAAGTGATTTTAATTAAAATTTTATATGTAGAATTTATATGATTTCACTAAAAAATTTATTAGAAATTACAGACAAAATACAATAATTTGATAATCATTTTTAATTGAAAAATGGTTTCAGATAGTTGAATTTTCAAAGAATATTATAAAAATATTTAAAAATAATTGAATTCCCTTATAGAGTTATAATTGAAATTATTAAATTTCAAAAAATTTTCAATGGAAAATTTTAGAAATAATTAAATTTTAAATGCTTTAAATTCAAATTATTGAAAATTCAATTAATTTTGAATTCAAATTTTTTAGAATAATTAAATTTTCTTTAATTTTGATTTGAAATTTTGGAAAATAATTAAATTTCAATTAAAATTTTGGATAATAATTCATTTTTAGTTGATTTTTTATTGAAAATTTTGATAATTAATTTTGAATTGAAATTTTAGAAAATAATTAAATTTTATTTGATTTTAAATTTAGAAAATAATTGAATTTTAGTTGATTTTGAATTGAAAATTTTGAAAATAATTGAATTTTCTTTGATTTTGAATTGAAATTTTGGGAAATAATTGAATTTTAATTGAAATTTTGAATAATAATTTAATTTAAGTTCATTTTTTATTGAAAATTTGGATAATTAATTTTGAATAGAAAAGAAAATAATTGAAGAATTTTATTTCATTTTAAATTGAAAACTACGAAAATAATTGAATTTTAAAAGATTTTGAATTAAAAATTTGGAAAGTAATTGAATTTTCTTTGATTTTGAATTAAAATTTTGGGAAATAATTGAATTTTAGTTGATTTTTGAATTGAAATTATGGAAAATAATTGAATTTTTGTTAATTTTCAATAGAAAAATTTGGAAAATATTTGAATTTTAGTTGATTTTAAATTAAAATTTCGGATAATAATTGAATTTTATGTGATTTTAAATTGAAAATTTTGAATTAAAAATTTGAAAAATAATTGAATTGTCTTGGATTTTGAATTGAAATTTTGGAAAATAATTAAATTTCAATTACAATTTTAGTTGATTTTTGATAATTAATTTTGAAATTAAATTTTAGAAAATAATTTTATTTTATTTGAATTTAAATTAAAAATTTGGAAAATAAGTGAATTTTAGTTGATTTTGAATGGAAATTTTGGGTAATAATTGAATTTTATTTGAATTTAAATTAAAAATTTGGAAAATAATTGAATTTTAAAAGACTTTGAATTTAAAATTTAATAATTTAATAATTAATAATCTAAGGCCTATAAACATATAATTTTTATTTTTATCATTTAATATGGAATAATATTCTAATAAATTTAAATAATTATTGATAATATTAATTTTTAATTTCTCTATAACAAATAATGAAATACTCAATTTAATATTGCTAGTAACAATAATAAATTAATAATTTTTCAGACTTGGGCGGATCGAGAACCAGCTGAAGGTGAACAAAGAACAGCCCTAAGAACACAATTAGCATCACAACTAACAGGATCGAGTAGTAAATCTCTAAAACGACCGAGTGTTGTTGTTCGACCGATGCCATTGCCTCCAATTCATAGACCAAATCACGACAGTAGTGGACAATTTTACGTGTACAATAAAATTGCAATTCTCTCAATTTTCAGGTATTTACCAATCAAGGACCTAGTGAATTGTGCACTAGTTTGTCGTGCCTGGTCCAGATACACGATAGATCCATGTCTTTGGCGACGACTCGATTTATCACATGTTCAATTGACACCGGCACATTTAACAGGTATAACACGTCGTCAACCCGAGAGACTCACGTTAAATTGGACAAATGTTACAAAACGACAACTCGCCTGGCTTCTCAGTCGATTACCACAATTGCGTAGTCTTTCACTTCAAGGTTGCACTTGGTCTGGTGTTTGTGCCCTTCGAACATGTGCCTGTCCACCATTAACATCACTTGATTTAAGTCATGTCTCTGGTTTAAATGATTCGAGTTTACGTGAAGTTTTAAGTCCACCAACTGATTCACGTCCAGGTTTAATTGACAAGACATCGCGTTTAAAATATTTACGAAATTTATCCCTAGCTGGCTGTGACATAACCGATGTTGCTTTACGTTATGTATCTCAACATTTACCTCATTTGGAAAATCTCGATTTATCATCGTGTGGTCGTGTTACTGATGCTGGTGTTGCACAATTAGCTGCACCACCCGCACAAACAATGAATCATCTTGTCTCATTGAATTTATCAAATTGTAAATTACTCACTGAAACCACACTCGATCATCTATTGAGATGTAATGCATTAAAACGTCTTGATTTACGGCACACAACTCAAGTTTCAACGCAATCAGTTATTAAATTTGCGGCAAAAAGTATTCATAATTTACATGTGACAGATGTTAAATTAGTTGAGGAGAAAAAAGGTAAAAATGAAACTCGAGGAACGTGAGACGAAGCCGAAGACGATGAAATAAACGAGTAAAAAATCAACTGGATCTCAAAAGATTTTTTTCAAATCTTATAAAAGGTGAATAATATTTGATGTATTAATTATAGCCGATTTTAATTTTAAACGCACAATAATTTTTTTTACACCCTTTTAAATTGATATGATTTATAAAAAAAAAATATATATATATAAGAATTTTATCATATAAAGTGGTGTAATATGTGAAAATTAGAGTGCTTTAAAATTTCACTGGGCAGTATTCTTTCTTGTTGTTATAATTATAACAAGTGATAAAAATGCTGGTAACATTTTTTTGTATTAATTGAAAAAAAATGTACTGGCAAAAAAAAATAACCGTCTATATACTAATTAACAATTCTTATAAAAATTATTCAAGTAATTGTTGTGAAATTATTGTTAGAATTTTGTAAATCATTAAGATTCGTCAAATTGTAAATAGTTTATCATTTTTTATCTCTCTATTCAAAATGAGCATAATTTTTATTTCTCTAAATGTATATTTAAACAATCATATAAATTTACGTTAGGCAATAAATTTATCGTCCAGAGTATATAATTAAATGAAAAAAAAAATATATATATATAGAAATAAGCAATAAATTAATGCAATATAAAAAAAACATAGTAACGCTAGTATTCTATATAGACAACGATTTTTTAATTAAATTTCTATTTTTTGATTAAATTCCATTTTGCCAAATTAATTTTTCATTGTACAAAAGAAGTAAATTTTTATATCTTCAAAAAATTTATATTTTTTTATTTCAATTATAATTTATCTCAAGAAAAAGTTAATGAAATTTTATAATTTTACTTTAATAACATTAAATGAATTGTAAAGAAAAAAATGAGATAATTCCGTTCATATAACAGCGAAAAAAAAAACAAGAACTGATTGTTAACACCTTTGATAATTTTTGGGTATTTTCTAATAGAAATTTTATATAAACAAAGATTATTTTTTATTTCTAGTTAAATTAACTAGTATTCAAAATATAGTGTCTTAGTTTAATACACCAAATGTATTTCTGAAATATGTTCTCTATAATAGAAATATAATTTAACATTATAAGCTTAAAGAATGTTTAAATTTTTCCCATTTGCATTTTTTTTTCTAATGTATAATTTATTTTTCAATATTTAGAATTCTAAATATTCAGAAATGTCAAATTTTTTTTTTTATAAATAAAATTCTAAAATTTTTTGGAACTATAGGTGAAAATCTATTAAATCAAATTGGATTGTGTTAAAATATTAATTTATAATTACAGAAAATGCGTATTTACAAAATATTAAAATTAATAATATAAAAAAGTAAATTTATACTATTTCTTTTAGTTTCCATTATCGTGTGTTTTTGTTCCTACATTAACTGCACTTGCAAGATCTTCCTGAGTCATTTTTAATCTATCTCTGATTAATTCCGCTATTGCTTTTTGTGTACGCCTTTCTAATTTTTCTAGTTTCTTATCAACATCTCTTTTTAAATCCCAATCAGGCTTTCTAGGTGCTAGATTATGAATATCCTGTAATAATAAATTACTCGATAATTTCCAAAAAAAAAGATTGTTTATAAGAAAATTAAAAATCGAACGAATATTTAAATAAAACTCACAAGTTCTTCGATAACAGCTTTTGTAGTAGCTGCTTTTAATTGTTCCGCAACTTCAGATTCTACATCACCTGGTTTAGCATCGTCTAATATTTTTTCTTTTAAACTTTCATCCTGTGGTCTATAACTTCGAAATTTTGGTCTAAAATAAACGAAGGCAAAATGTGGGCAAAATAAAATTACAAAATAGATTTTATAGGTTAGTTTTGGAGTACAAGATGTATAGTTATTAATTTCTGACTAGTACTTACGTTGGAAGTTTCTTTGAAGGTTCAAGTTTTTCATTAGATACTTCATTTTTTCTTTTTAATGCTGCTAATCTCTCTTTTCTTTTTAAAGCTTCATCAGTAAGAGTACCGATTTTATCGTCATCTGTCATTTTTCACTTTTTTGAGATAACACAACAAACAAAACAATCCCCCCTCGTGTCAAATATTAGCGCATGCGTCGCTCTTATTTCCGATTATTTCCCCGCGCTCATTTGAAAAAATAATTAATATTATAAAAATCAAAAAGTTACAATCAAATTTAACTCATCATGGAGGTAAATAAAAAAATTAATTCAAATTAAATTCCTAATTTTAACGAATTTTTATAGGAATCAAATGTAAAAAATGTAATTTGTTAAATTTAGTTTATAGATTAAATGATAAATAGTGGCCCTGACAAATAATTTTCAATTTTTTCTCGTGAAATAATAATTACCCTTAATATTTCATAATATATAGCAAATAAATCATAGTATTAACAGTAAAAATCAATTATAAAAAATTCGAAAATAACCATGTTTAGTTTTTTCATTTCTAAAAAATAATAAATTTTCACACTTTTCTGACCTTACAATGATGATAATAATGTTGAGAAAGATTCTCTCCTCTTGTTAACACGTCCCATTAATTTATTTAATCACAAAACACTTCACTTTACGAAAAAAAAGATACTTTAAATTCGCGTGCAAAAAATATACTTTGACTTTATCCGTTGAATTGTCCGTTACTATTGATTTCTAAGGGCACATACACAGTTGTTGGAAGAAATGGAATTTACCAAGGAAAACAATTTGATTGGTCCTTCCAGTAGAACACTTTTTGAGACTGATTGTGAACAACCAATCAGGTTAGTGGATTTTCTTAGCGTAGGTTTTTTTGTTTTGACAAAGTTGGTACTACTGATCCCGCGCGTTGTAGCAAGTTAGCAACTGTGTTCAAGTAATAGAAATCAAATTCTACGCAAATCCAAACGCAATTTTATTTGTAATCATCGTAATCTAAATTAATTCTGATTATATTGTCAAAGGAAAATTGTTTTCAATCTTCATTAAAAATCAGGTATGAAATCTATAGTTTTATTATATCTGTTTTATTTGTACAATGAATACTGGGCAATCGACAGGCTCATCGCCATGTGATTAAAGTTGATTAAATTTAGTGCATTTTTTGTTTACTTAAGTATTTTTTTTTGGTAAAATAATCATGTGTAATTCTATAAAGCAGAATATCTTTGGATTTGTATGATACTCGATATTATTTGAGGTTAGAAAGCTATGACATTATAAACTTTGGTGTAAACATGTATAAATTCCATTTGTTTAATATTTTTCCAATCAGTTTTATTTCCGTTTTAGTGCATTTATTATTTATTTTTGCCATACAGAAAGTTTATCTAATTTTTATAATATTAAAATTTATCGGAAAAAATTAATTAGATATAAAAATGAAATTTGTCAAGAGCAATTTTTATAACCTCACACATTTTTTGTAGTGTGAATAATAATAGTTTTAACGAGTTTTATTTTTATATCATTTAATAATTATAAAAATAAATATGCTCTCAATGGAAAATATTAATATTGGAGATATAATCCTAGGTAATAAAATAATTTATTATTATTATATTTTATTTCATTTTCAAAAGAGAAATGATTGTAATTTTCTCTCCAAATGGCAAATTTATTGTCTCTCTAATTAGTAAGAACTTTTTTTTGGCAATTATAAAATTATAGACGAAATTTACTTTATTGAATTTTTTTTTCTAACAAAATTTCGTTGGAAAATTTTTTTTTTTTTGCTCCAGAATAGGATGATGGCAGTTGTTCTTTTAAACGTAATTTGAAAGAGAAGTTCCTTAATTCCCAGTAGTATTTCGCAAAGTCAGCTTTAGGTTGGTGATTAGCATCGTGGAATCATTGACCTGGATTTCTTTAATAATGAGAGTATCCAAGTACAAGTGTGCAAGGGAAACAGAGAGGAAAAAAAAAAAAAAAAGAGGATGTTTTAAAGGGTCGATGGCGTCGTTCTGCCATACATAGTAAAGTTGATTTCCACTTTAGTTCTGGCCACGTGGTTGGGCATTTATATTGACGATTTAACCCTCCTCGTTCTGTTAAAAAAAAAGTCGTTAACCACCCAAGTAAAGACCGTTACACGCGCCATCGCCTCCTCTCATATAACTATATATATGAGAGATGATTGGATAAATTTTCGTCATAAATTTCTATTTTCTCTTTTCCTCGATCAAAAAAAAGGATAGGAATTTTCTTCGATTAAAAACAATCACTTGTCAAAAATCTTTATTTTATCTCGATAAATTATTTTGATATTATTTCTTTAAAAATTTTAAAAAATTCAAATTTTCTATTTAAAAACGATTATTGATTATAATTTATATACTATATATCAATTTGATTAAAAATTTTCCTTTTCTTTTGGACAATGGAAAAGACAACTACATTAACAATAAAAGAGTCGTATAAAAAGTTTTGCCCCAAAGGCTTACGTTTGAATAGTTTTAAATCCAGAAATGGACAAAGGCAATGGGGAAATAAAAGCAAAGTGAGCCACACTTTTTCGAAACGAAACTGTTATATCGAGTAAATCGAAAAGGACAAATAGATTTTTCGTAAATGCTCAAGTGGTCTCAATGATACTCAAAAGAGAAACCGAGAAAAATAGAAACAGATGGATAGTTTTTATAGTAAAAAAAATATACTCAAATCATGAAATAGAAAAAATCTTTTCCAATGATAAAAATTAGTTATATAAATATATTCTCATACAATATATGAGAGATTCTTTTTCAATCGCCCCAGCCCAAAAAGTCAATGTTCTGGGATTGGCTTCATACTTTGGTAAATTGTTCTCCTATATGATAGTAATAAATCCCTAAAATATAAACTCATTAAAAAAATATTTGTAGAAAGTAGAGGGGGTTGAAGTTTTGACGTTAAGGGTAACATTGTCATTTTCAAATCCGTTTAACTATGACAAAAGTTAATGGATTTTAATTTATCTATAATGAATTTTATTGCATTTTTCACGTACTTTTCAAAAATGTATACGAAATTTAAAAAAAAAAATTTTTAACCCCTTTTTTTTCAAAATCAACCCTTATTTTTCGATTTTCACCCCTTCGGGTATTTTTTTTTTTTTTTTTTATTTTCATTGGAAAGCTGAGGTTTTTTCCCATGAGCTATGTAAATATGAAAATGGGACAACAATAATTTTGTGAGTAACAGAATATTAAAGTAGGCGGTGCCGATAAGGGTGCCGTTAAGGGTAACATTGTAATTTTCAAATCTGTATAACTTTGACAAAAGTTAATGGATTTTAATTTATCTATAGTGAATTTTATTGCATTTTTCACGTACTTTTCAAAAATGTATACAAAATTTAAAAAAAAAAATTTTTGACCCCCTTTTTTTCAAAATCAACCCTTATTTTTCGATTTTCACCCCTTCGGGAATTTTTTTTTGTTTTTTTTTTATTTTCATTGGAAAGCTGAGGTTTTTTCCCATGAGCTATGTAAATATGAAAATGGGACAACAATAATTTTGTGAGAAACATAATATTAAATTAGGCGGTGCCTATCTAAATCCTCAAAGATGATCTCCAGGTACACCCCTTATCGGCACCGCCTACTTTAATATTCTGTTACTCACAAAATTATTGTTGTCCCATTTTCATATTTACATAGCTCATGGGAAAAAACCTCAGCTTTCCAATGAAAATAAAAAAAAAAAAAAAAAAAAATACCCGAAGGGGTGAAAATCGAAAAATAAGGGTTGATTTTGAAAAAAAAGGGGTTAAAAATTTTTTTTTTTAAATTTCGTATACATTTTTGAAAAGTACGTGAAAAATGCAAAAAAATTCATTATAGATAAATTAAAATCCATTAACTTTTGTCATAGTTAAACGGATTTGAAAATGACAATGTTACCCTTAACGTCAAAACTTCAACCCCCTCTACTTTCTACAAATATTTTTTTAATGAGTTTATATTTTAGGGATTTATTACTATCATATAGGAGAACAATTTACCAAAGTATGAAGCCAATCCCAGAACATTGACTTTTTGGGCTGGGGCGATTGAAAAAGAATCTCTCATATATGTATTGAAAATTGTGTTAGAAAATTCTATATAACAGCGAGTTAAATTAAAATCCAATTTGAGAGAATATAGTTTTTGTCTACTGTTTGGTATGAAAGAAAGAGTTTATATAAAAAGAGTATGAATGTGTGTGTGTACAATGGAAAATAGAAATCGGTTTCGAGTTTCCATATATTTGACGATTTCCCTTTAAATGCAATGGTTGAATTTTGTTTCAGTTCGTCATAGTTCATTCGGGACGGATCCAGTTCGATGAGTCGAAATATTGGTGAAAGACCCCAGGGGTATGAGGTGAAAGCAATAATAAGTCGTGAAAACAGAGAAGGGTTATATAATGTCAACCGCTTTGTCTAGGGATTGACCAAAACTTGTCGCTTTACATTTTCATCAATTCTCATGGGTAATACAATGTGTGAAAAAAAAGGTGAGTTCAATTAAAAAAAATTTTTTATTTATTAAAACAGTACAAAATAAAATAAATATGATTAATTATAATTTTTGAATATTTTCAGCAAATTCACGAAGAAGGAAGATTTATCTGAGAATGTTGAAAAAAAACAATGAGGAAAAATTCTTAATAGTAAGACTCTTAATTTAATTAAATACAAATTCAATTTAGTTTTTATTTATATATTTGAATGATTTTTTTTTACAAAACGTTGAACTAATTGACAATTATTGTTTTAGAAAATAATTATATAAAATTTTTTAATTTTTAAAAATTTTTCAGTTCTTCAAATAGAAAACAAAGAAGGATGGAAAAGATGTCGACAACGAAAAGCTGTTATATTTTTCCAAAATATGTAATTCATCTTTCGGTGAGTCTTTTACTTATTTATTTTTTTTATTTAATTTAGAAAAAAAAATCTGGAAGGGAAAATTAATTTTATAAACAATTATTATTTTTATTTGCTTTCGCAAATAAATTGATACATAGAATTTTATTTATAGGACAATTAGCAATTTTTTAAAAATAATATTAAAGTTCTAAAATAATAATAATAATTTGTCGGGAAAAATAAGATCGGCTTTTTTAAAAACTCGTGAATATTTTATTTTTCTTTTATTTTAAGAGAATTTAATTTTCTTTTACTATTCATATAGTTCCAAATATAAATATTGTTACATGAAATTTTGAAGAAAATTGTCTGGAAAATTTCTGTAAAGTGATGAAATTAAAAATAATTAAAAAAAAATTAAAATTATTTTTTTAGTTTAAAAAAAATTGTTTAAAAATTATAATCACACGAAAACTAGTTGAAAATTCGATATTTCTAAAAAAAAACAAGTCTTGTTTCATTAAATAAATCAAATATATTAGCAAATAATTTTTAAATGGAATTTTTATATTTATCCCGTAGATTTTTCTTCGCAAGTAAAACGTTTCTTTCTTAATCTTAATGCCAAAAAAGTGGTGAATCGTGGAATGGTATGATACTCGTAGAAAAAAGGAGGATTTATGAGAAAGAGAGGAGAGAGAGAATATCGAGGAAATCCATTTCGATTGAAGGACACAAAGAAAATGCTCTGCTTTCGTATTTTCTGCTCTACTAATTCTTTTACAGTGTCCTTTATACTTTTCAGAGTTGCAATATGTCATTTTAGTTTTCTCGCTTTTTTTCTAATACAATTAAACTTGAATTATCCAATCTCTTATAATTGATGTGTGATATTTTTTTTGCTTTTTCAATTTTCTATTGTATGATTTTTTTTTAAACTTGCAGTTTTCTTCATTTTCTAATTTTTCAAATGTAAATAGACAATTTTCTAAAAGGAAATTTTACAAGTGAAAAACGATCAGATCTTATAATACTGCGTGTAACAAAGCAGTTAACGTATTATGGTAATCGGACCTATTGCAAGAAGCTCGTAATTTCCACTAGAAACTCGGTAATTTCTTAGACCATCGAGTTCCGCACCCTCTCTCTCTTTCTATATATATATCTCGTTTTTCTTTTTTTCTATATATTCGCTTGCTTTTGCAGCTCTTGTTTTCTTACCATGTTGACCTCTCTTCTTTTTCTTTCTCTCTCTCTCTCTTTCTCTCTGGGTCTTCAAATACAGTGTAGCACGTTCTTTGGAATCGCGATCAATTCTTATAGATCGAAGCTAAGAGAGAGGACGGCCTTTTTTTTTACGGCTAGTCTACGTGACTGACTATAAAATTTATCGACAGACATGTTATATACATTTAGAAAAAAGAGAGGTATATGTATGAGGGAGAACATTTTTTGATCCCCCTCTTCGTCCCCTAATTTGTCTATTTTATGACCATAAAAAAAAGAGAGAAAAAAAAGAAATGAATAAAATTTTCAGTATATTTAAATTTTTATTTTATTTCTCTTGAGAGAAATATTTTTTTCGCTATCTAATTTATCATGATATAATAAAAAACCTTTTTTTTGTAATTTTTTGATAGAATTCTCATGAAATAATATCTTTTACAAAAAAAGCCCAAAAACTAGTTAGAATTTCTCTATTTGAGAATTGTTTTAACACTTTTTTTTAATTTTTTTTTGCAAATCACTCGTCACGCAAACATATAACCAACATTGGTGCATTAGTCGAATGTATATATATATATATATATAAGTATAAGGGTTTCCGCTCACGCGAAGAAACGCGCAAAACGCGCGATTTGCTAACGATGTGCAAGCTTTAAACTTCCATTAGATTGTTCTATAGTGCAAGTTGTTTTTTCTTTTGCCTTCAATTCTTTTTCCGCGAGCGAGCACGTCATTTGAGAAGGGAACAAAAAAAACAAAAAAAACAAAAAAAAAAAAAAACCATAGCCTCCCTGCAATGCACAGATCATTGTTCTCAGTTAAAATGGAAAACTCCTGACACTACTATTGTATATACACTCTGGGTGATATAGCCTGTAAACGAACTTACCTTTTTCTCTTTTTTATCGCGAACAAAATTTTTTTTTGTTTTGTTTGTTTAACATAGATTAAAATTATATTGAAAAAAATTATATTCTTAATTTAAAAATGTTTAATCTCTCATTTTGAATTAGTGAAAATTTTTATAATAATTTGAATAATCCATAATAATAATTAATAATTAATAATTAATAATTAATAATTAATAATTAATAATTAATAATTAATAATTAATAATTAATAATTAATAATTAATAATAATAATAAATTAAGTAATAATTTAATTTAACAATTTTAATAATTTGTTTGCTTTTGAATTAGATAAATTTTATTAATTAAAATAAATTTAAATAAAAATAATTCGGTAGTAAAAAAATAGTTAAATTCTATTAATTCGTTAGTAAAAAAATAGTTAGTTTATTAATTAGTTAGTAAGAAAAATAGTTTAATTTTATTAATTAAAAGCAATTTTATAAATTAAAAATATTTTATCAAAAAATAAAAATAAAAAATTTTTTTGTAGTGAATCTATATTAATATTTGAGGCTTCGTTATGATAACCTGTAATTATTATATAATTAGAACTTCTCAAAAATAATTTGTACTAATATTAATTAAAAGACTATTAATATTTTGTATCAATATATATATATACGTATATAATTTTCTAGAAAATCAATTGAAAGATATAGAAATCATTGATGAAAAATAATCCCCAAAGGTATATATATACAATTCGCAACTTTTGTATGTGTGTGCAAATTTACAAATATCAATATTCTATTATCAACCTATAGTAAACAATTCGAAAGTGAATTTTCATCGCTCTTTCTATTTTATTCTTCTATCTTTTTTTTTTCTTTTTTCTTCCTTTTTTTTTTTATTTTTGAACTCCAAATTGAAGTTTTCATAAATTTTTATTTGATAGCCAATACATTCAAGTTTGAAATTTTTGATATATATTTTCTATAATCATTGTCTCTTAAACGAAATAATTCGTGGATTTCAAATTAATTTTTTTTTGCGCGAATAGAAATTTTTTTAAATTTTAATATAAAGAAATTTATTTATTTAATAAACGGGACTAAAAATAGTGAAATAAAAATTTTTTACATAGTTTCTCTTCATAGGGAAGAAAAGGGAGAATATTTTTTTGGCACCTATTTGGGAATATTTACCATGCATTTTTATTCTTTGTTAAAAAAAAAGACGATGCTAAAGTTTATGATCAATTTAAAGAAAAATTTTTTTTTGAACGAAAAAAATAAATTTTCGTTTTAAAGATGTTTTTTGCCTTCTTTTTTTGTAAAAAATTTGTAATAAATATTTTCTTGATAAAAAATATAGTTCTACGTGGTAAAAAATATTTATTTTTTTCTAATTGTTGATGATAAAAGTTGTGAACTTCAGAATCATAGAAAATAATATTTTTATTAAAAGGATTCTTAAATTAGAAAATAGTTTTTGAATTATAAAAATAGTTTATAAATTAAGAAATAGTTTTCAAAATTTAGAAATAGAATTAAAAACTAGTTCATAAATTAAAAATTAGTTTTTAAATTAAGAAATAGTTCTTTAATTAAAAAATAATTAAACTAAAAATACATTCTTATTTAGTTAAAAATATTCCCATTTAGTTATTTTAAAAAAAAAAAATATTTTTTTTCCACTTTTCGGAATTTGGTATAATAATAAATTTTTTTCGGGGATATTTATATTATTTTCTCATTAGGCAAAGGGGCGATAATTTGTAATTATTTTTCCGGTAACGCCCTTATGTATATACACAACTTCCGTGTAAGCTACCATTATAATGGATCAGGATCACAATGGAATTGGTTAAAGCCGTATTCAGTATAGTTCTTCGCATCCCCTAGTTATATAGAGGAGTTTTCTCTCTTTTTTTCTCTCTCTCTCTCTCTCTTTCTCTTTCTCTCTCGCTTTATGTGCCCCCATTTCAACCATTGAGGCGTGCTCGTCTTTTCTGCGCCACAATTTTTGCTTTCGTTTCTAGAGCTCTTATTTCAAGCTGCGAGGTCCGTGATCATCCTTTCGAGTTTTACCTCTTTGCGTGTGCAACAACCGCCTTCTTTTCTTAAGCACCTACAACTTTCATTCTATATATTCTCTATATATACATCGAGTATTGCTAAACTCACTAAAAGAATTGTTCTTAGAATTCCACGCAGTTCCTTTTCTACAATACCAATTTTGTATTTTCATTGCATCGATCTTGCGTAATTTTCTTCGAAAAAAATGTTTATATTATTACTTTGAATTTCAGATGCAAAATGAATATATTCTTCTATTTTGTTCCAAAAAAATAAAAAAAAAAATTTTTTTTATTTTTTCAAAACAGGCCCTAAATAGAATTTTCTATTTCAGTTCCTGTATTTTTATATTTATATGAATTTTTTTTATTTTGAACGAGATTTTTTTCAATAACTGATTGTAAATTTCTCCATCTTTTTTTTCCATTGGAAAATAATATTTGAATGGAAATGTAGTTGATGCGCGGGTATATTGTTAGAATATTATTGATAAACTAAAATTGTGATATTATTCTTACCACGGCGATATTCGTATTGATTCTAGCATAAAATTATATTATATGTATGAGGTTTCATATATTATATATATATATCTTACGAGATAAAATTCGTTTCTTTTTTCGCAAAAAAAAATCTCACAAATTTATTTATTTTTTTTGGTAATAATTTTTAATTAATTTTCATAAAATTACAAATGTAATTATCTTTTTTTTCCCCTGTTAATAACACTCGAATAAATGCAATTTTTGAAAACAAAAAAAAAATAGAAAATTCTACAACAAAAGAGATGATTAACTCGATAATTTATGTACATTTTAATCGCATAATAAAATCAAAGAGATAAAATTGCAAACTCTATAATTAATACGATACATACATATA